CCCCAAAACCCCAAAACCCCAAAACCCCAAAACCCCAAAACCCCTCAGTATAATTTATTGATTGAAATAATCTCTCATAATTATTAGACAAATAGTTCCCAAGTCTCTGTAGGGCGTTTCTTGCTCATCTCAAAAATATCAAAAGAAACCTTGTGGACATTTTCGTAGAAGTCGATTCTTTTCAAAACTAACTGCCACAGACATGTAGACTCATGAAAATTATAAGTGGTCTTGACTATCTTCTCTTCTTTTTGGGACACCTCACTAATTTGAGAATTCAGGCTACTGACAGCTTCTTCAATTGCTCATTCAGTTGTATAGCCTGTATCTTCTTCGGTATGCTCATGAGTGTCTTTAGAGTAATAAGATCCTGCACTAACCTTTGCTTTCCAGCCGAAGAAGCCTCCGCTGGCTTCAGCCTTAACAGAGGCACTAAAATGAGTCTTTAAGTCAGAGGTGATTGACTTAGAATAGTAATCAGCTTGGCTATTTAGTTATTTTTCCATTGGTTTCAGAGCGTACTTCATCCTGTTCCTTAATTGAAAACTGGATTGAAGTCGTAACTTCTCGGACTGTTCCTTTAGGCTGGCGGGTGACCAACTCCCAGGACAAGATAGCATCACTGATAAAGGGAGATAGCTCGATAATGAACTGAGTGTCGTCACTTAGCTCTCTAGAATAGCTGAATCCGTAAGGTTTCTTCTTAAGCATACATGAGTTAGGATTTCCTAGGATATATCTCCCGTTGCTCTTGTTTAGAAAGATAGAGGTTCTAAAGCACTCACTGGGGTCTGAGACAGGAATTGAGGTCATCCTATTTTCATCGTGAAGGTCTCTTTCGAAGCCGATGAAAATTTTGTCTTTATTTGGAGTATAGTAGGATATTGTCAGAATCACTCTTTAAACTAAAACTCCATAGAGTACTTCCACTACTACTCCACCTAATCTTTCCATCCTCATATCTCAAAGCTTTATCTCCATTCTTCACAATTCCTTCACCTGCCTTAACCTTGGCGGTCACATCTTCAAAATCTCCTAGAGTTTCCATTCTCAACTATACAAATTCAAAGGATAACACCAACGAGATTAAGCTCAAGAGATACCCCTAGCCATTTTCATGGTGGTGATACAGTGCCCCATCAGGAGATTGTATTTTCGAGCAAGGGGCTTGCTCTGAAGAAGCCAAGAAGGCAATCAATCCTACTTCGGTACTAAATCCCCCTTCACGACCCTCCCTAATCCCAATCCTCCCTAAACCATCTAAAACTCATTCTTATGAACAACAACCTATACTACCACACCTTCCATTCTACCACCTAATATCATCCCACAAAGCTCAATTCCATCTCCTAACAACCAGTCACCCCCAAAGATCCCAACATCCCACCATTGATTCCCATGACTAACCTTTTAATTTCACTATTAATAATGTGTTGTGGGGTTTTGGGGTTTTGGGGTTTTGGGGTTTTGGGG